GCCTCCCACAACCGCCGGAAGGCGAGCCCCCAGGCAGCGTTACTTTACACAGCCCATTTTATTTCAGAATTTCCAGATTTGGCTAAAAGCAGTTTAAAACAGTGCCCCACAGCTGCCCGGCTCCCCTCGCCCGGGCCCCGTGTGCATTAAAAACCCCCACTGCCCCCCAGCACCCAGCCCAGCCCCTCGCCCTGGCTCCCACGAGGTCTCCCATGGGTGCAGAGCGCTGCACCACCAACGAGGTGAGGGCAAGAGAAGGGGGGGGGCTGTGCCCCACTGCCCCAAGACCCCTGCAGCTCTGTCACCCCTCGGCTTCCTGGGGGCAGCGGGGATGTGAGACCTGCCATCGACATGGGGGTGGCTGACAAATACCAGCCAGACCATTTCCCCATCCCACCCCACCCCTGCAACACTCTCCACGCTTGGAGCCACCCCAAACCAATGCCGGGAGCAGCTAAACACAACAAAAGCGGATGCTTCCCCCTCCCAGAAGACATTTCCTTGCCGCCAACAGCATCCAGGACCAGCGGGGCCGCCCATGGCTTAGTCGGAGTCGCTGAAGTCGGTGAAAAGCATCTCGTGGCCATAACTCGAGTACCGAAAGTCCGTCTCCATCAGGGCCAGGGTGAGAGCCCATTCGAGCATGCAGAGCTCCTCGTCCTCCTCGTCAGAGCTCTCGGAGGGAGAAGGGCTGAACTCCTGCAGCACAGGAGAGAGGATGAGCCCCGGCCTCGAGCCATGTTGCACAGCCCCCCCCCCGGGACATGCCACCCCACTTACAACAGGCACCCTCGGCCGCTGCCGTCTGCGCCACGGCCGCCGACCGGCGGGCAGTTCGTGCAGGTAGATGCAGTCTGACTTGAACGGGCAGCGGCCACGGTTCCGGGCAAAGAACTTGCACCTGATTTTCCTGTGGGATTCAAAGCACAGTTGAGAGCGCAGCTCCCGGAGCAGCACAGAGCCTGCAGCCCTGCAGCGCCACGCACTCACCCCGTCCGCGCCTTGAAGGTTTCGATGAGCTTCTCCTTCTCACCCACGTCCGAGACCCAGTATTTGTGGGGGATGTAGTAACTGGAGGTGACCCTGCACTCCGGGCAGGCCCTGGGTGAAGGTAATGGGTGCAGGTGGGTCTCCCAAAAAGGAAGCAGGGAGCACGGGCTCAGCACCCATGCTGGGTGGTCCCACCGCCACGGCCTCATCCAGCATCCCCGTCCCCATCACAGCTCCCAAGCGCCTGTTCCTGAAGGAAAGTCGCTCCAGTCCCAAAGCCACATCGCCAGACCCAAGGAAGGATTTCAGGGTGCAGAAAGGGTGACGGTGACCACCCTGCCATGTCCCGATCCCCACTCACTTGATGACCGTGCTCTGGAAGTCCCGGCTGTGACGCCACTTGCGGATGCAGCCCACGCAGTACGCGTGGCTGCAGTTCGGGAGGATCCCAAAAAGCCGCTCCTCCAGCAGCGGCTTCTCGTATACTCGGTCCATGCAGATGCCACATACCACGGCCTCGCTCCGGGTCCTCAGCGCTGCAGTGGAGACTGGGGCTGCCACAGCGCCCAGCTCCGTGGGGACCTGCAAGCAGAGCAGCATGGCATTGTAACCCCCTGGCTCCATCACTGCCCCAGCCTAGGGGACCGACGCAGGGTGACAGGGACTGCCTGGCCGCAGGAGACCTCCAAGCCTACCTCTGCAGGATCAGTCCATGTCGCTGTCTCCACCACTGCCTCTCTGGGGTCAGGAGAATTTGGATCCAGTCCCAGCCCTCGCGGTTGGGAGCCTGCAGGCAGGAGAGCTCTTAGAGGGGAAAAGCACATCCTGCCCCACCATCAAAGAGGCAGGCTGGCTGCTCGGAGGGCACAGGCTTAGCAGTTAAGGTCCCCACCGAAAAAAGCTGCTAGGAGAGCTTTTCCACAGCCCCAGCTGGGCCCTGCCCAGAGATGGAGGGGGGAGGATTTGGGTCAAGGACAGACACATGCACAGGATGCTCCACTGTGACCACCCTGGTATCCTCAGCCCTGCTGGTCCCCGGGCACCCTAGCACCTACCTGAGGCACCCCGAGCTTGTGTAGGGACAAATTCTCCACCGACGGCCCCACGGGGGATGTTATCAGGTGCTGGGATGTTCTCCTTGTCTTTTTCTTCCTCCTCAACCTCCACGCTTGGGAACTTGAAGGCCATGTGCGTCATGCTGGGGACAGGGTGGGCTGAGCTGCGTCGGGCTCCCCCCCAGCCCTGGGCCACTGCCGCAGGCACACGGCCGGGCTCTGAGCCCCAGCGGCTGGGGGGCTGGGTGGGCACGGGACCATAGCGGGTCCCCACTGGCACCGGCTCCTCTTGGATGTGCTGGTAGCTGGAGAAGCCCAGGGACGGACAGACAGAGGGTCCCGTCAGCCCAGCATGACACCTCCTGGCTCCCAGCCCATCCTCGTGGCTTCAGGCCCCCTCCTCACTGCCCCTTACCTGCACCGCTCTCCATAGCTGCAAAACCCGCTCTGGAAGTACCTGCAGATCTGGGCTGACTTTCTGTCGTGCGAGAAGCGGCAGTTTTGGCCCCATCGACAGGATCCGCGGGCAAAATTCCTGCCAGCCGGAGAAGCCGCATGGCCGGGGTCAGATCCTCCCTGGCCACTGGCTTTGCCTCCATATGGGGCCATATTTTCGGAACCCCCAGGCCGGTGTCTGAGCTCAGGAGCCCTCGCCAAGGGCAAAGCCCAGCGGGCAGCCAGGGCTCTCCCTGCTTCATCCAGCCTTATCTCCGGGCTAATTGCAAAGCAAACAAAGCCCGAGGGCTGGGCCGGCCGAGGGGGCTCGAGCAGCCGCTGCACAAGGCTGGGGGCCCTCCCCGGGGTTGGGGGAAGCACGGAGACACGCCGGGGCTACGGAGGGCTGCGGCAGCCCCCCGCTCCCTGTGGGGGCCTGGAAAGGGGCAAGAGTCCTCGGCTTGGGGCTGGCAGGGAGGGGGTGCCCCGGCGGGGTACTGCC